TCGGGAACAGCCAGCATCACTGTGTGCATGCTGGAAAACCCAGATTATTGCTCCTGACCGCAGAAGCAATGGGCATTCAGGAAATTAATAGACTGGGCTGAGGAGGTAGGGTGGGCACCCAGGGACACAGGCAGGGAGACTAATAGTCACTGATCTAACACTTTCTCGGCCTCACCAAGGATCAGACATTGCTAAATGTATGTTCTATTTTATATATGCACTACTTTTTCCCAACAATGCAAAATACAGGTCTGAGCACAAAAATCCACCTGACTTGGTCTAGCGACACGGGCCAAAGAGGGAAGGAGTCAGCAGGCAGGCTGGGCACCACTGGACCCTTTGGCTGGACTGCCTGGAAGCCCAATCCCTTCTCCATCCAGCAGTGGAAATGTCACTTGAAGGTGAAGAAAGAGGCAGAAGCAAAATCAGAGTGAGGACCCCCCAAATGCAAGAGGGACAATTTCTGAGGTCTTGGCTGAAATCAGCGGGCTGCAAATCATGTTGTTCCCCACATCAGCCTCCTCCCGGATGGGAATGTGCACCTGGAGGTGGGTTGCATTTTGTATGGGGTTTTTCAGGACAACCCAGAACCTACGGGAATTATTGATCTTCCTTTAGTCCTGCTTGGTCTAAGTGCTGCAAATGCGAAAGTGCTGAAAAATGTGCATAAAGAAGGTGGAATTTCAACAGGAGACCGGGAAGGGGGTGTCTATTCAGAGCTTTTCCACAAGTGGCACACACACAATAGTGTTTTCTTTGGCCAGATTACACATCCACATGAAAAACAAAATCCTTCTTGTAAAATCAGACTCACACTCGTTGGAAAGGTGTCTCCTAAATGCAAGATCTAATCCAAGTCCTCAAGCAGACTGTGCCTGGGATGCAGGAGGACAGAGCTGGTTTTGGGATGGTCAGAGCCCTCTGCTCTTCTCAAAGTGAGGAATTATTGCAAGGAGGATCCAGAGCCGGTGCAGACCCAGTGTAACCCCCTCCTGCAGGTGAACACCGCTGCAGGGAGAGGGCAGCAGGGCTTGAGCAATCCTATAAAATCCAGATTTAAAACCTGACAACTTTGCTTTGCGTAGCAGATCCGACAGCCGTTGCCTTCTCCTTTGAGAGGGATAAGAGTGAAAGCTCTGGAGACAAACCTAGGGCAGTAATTAATCAGGTAATTGCAGTATTTGCATGGAGTGTCTGCAAATATTACCTCCGCGCCTAAGCGCAGTACTTTGGACTACGTATCTTATCACGAACCACGCTGTCAAATAGGAAACACGCACCCGCCGCCGGAGTGTAAGGAGTTCTGGGTCAGCCAAGATGCAAACCCACTAAATTAATTTGCAGCTGTGCGCGGAGTGAGGCCGGCGCGATAATTTAATGAAGCCCTTGCAGACGTGCGTGCTGTGGTTGCCCCGCGCGGAGCGGCGGCAGGGAGGGCGCGGAAGGACTGCAGGGACCTTGCGAGGGAGCAGGGGCTGCGGCCTTGGCCACTGGATTTCTTGAGTGTCTATTCGTTAACCCCCATGACTTGGCAGGTGACTGGGTTTGCACTGGTGCATCACACGGAAATGTCAGGTCAATGAGGGGACTCAAACCCAGATCCCAAATTCAGGGACTTTTCCCTTGAAAACAGCAGATTTCGATGCCTCCACATCTGGGGCGAATCTGGATGCAGCGGTGTCGCTGAGCTTGATTTTCCTCAATGGAGCCCAGGATGCTCCAGCCGAAGGTTCCTCAGATGAGCTCTGGAGCAGCTGTTTCTGCTCCCACAGGACCACAGGGGTTGTAGGAGCCTGAGGTCAACCTCTGGGCAACTTTAGTATCGACATAGCAATGGCTTCAGTGAGGACACCGTGGAGGTGGAGGGCACCTAAACAAGGGGGATCTTCCCCATTCCCAAAGCTGCTTGTGACTGAGAGCATTTGGGTTTTCACATTCCTAAATACCATTCAAAAATGTTGCTCATGAAGAAGATACCGAAATAACAGGTCATAATTCACATTAAATGCTGTCTAACTGTATTTGGTGAGCAGCAAAGGAGTAAAGCCAGGTTTCCTGTGGACTTATGAGTTACATCGTCCACAATATTGGCCCTTTTCCTCTGTGTCCTCCAAACCTCCTTCCCTCACGCCCTCATCTTCCACCTCTCCTCCCACCAGCAGACCAGGCCGTGCAAGGTCGGAGCTGTGGACGTGCTGGTGAATCCACTGGTCCCGCCGGCTGTAGAGCAGGTCACCGGGGTGCTGGCGTTTCACAGAGCTGCTGATTTGCTAAAACTTGTAGAAACTTGAGGTCACTACATGTCTTTCCCTCTCTCGAAAGTGATTTTGAAGTTCAGAAACTGCTGTGGAGGGGTGGGAGTGATGGCAGTGCAACCATACAAGGTGCCAGCAAACCAGCAGATTAAAATACTGGTTGTCCCATGGCCAGTATATAGAGTGTTTAGGGGTGTGTGTCCTTCCATGCGTCTCTATATTAATCCCATTAGATGTGAGAAGTGCAGGATTTTGAACTTTCCCCCCATGCAGCAGTGACACTGGCACACGACAAGTCCTAGCAGGGAGGTTTGGAGATGATGTGGGTTTTCCAATGTAGCGCGTTCGTATCTAGGGCTTCAGCGAGGTCATGGCTCAGATAAATGGGTTTGTTTTGCTGTCATAGCTGGCTTTGGCTGTCGTTACACCCGTGATAGGAGCAGTGGGTCTCAGCCCCCTGGGTACGATAATGCTGCTGCCATCGCTGGTGTGACCATCAGGAGCCACAGCAGGACACCTGGGGCTTTGAAGTGTCCTCGCAGGAACAGATTTACCATGAGGGCCAAACGAATGCTCTGAAGGAAAGGAAGCCTTTCTGGTTCCCAGGCCTCTCCTCCGCCAGCTTGTTTGCCGTTGCCCTTCGTTATTATTTTAGCTCCAGTGACTACACATGTGGGGCCCTTTTGGCTTTGAGGTTCTGCTTTGTTGGCATCTCAGGCCATTAACGAAAAGGTTGTGTAAAATAAACAAAAATCCCTCATCAAGAGGGTTTAGCTGATTGTAGAGCTGGTGCCAGATCCGAGGGTCGCTCATCTGCTGTGAAAGAGCCAGAGTGTGGGAGGCGAAGGGTTAAGAGCGAACACTGGAGAAGGGAAAGATACGTATCATTAAATAAAAATGTGACCACCCATGATTACAAGTGTTGTAGTCCTCCTTTTAATAAGCACACACCGTACTTTCATTAACCCGGGCCTGCTTGAATAGCAGCCTGTCTGGCTGAGCGGGCAGCGATTTTGTAAAAGCCGTCCCTAATGACAAAGCCGGGGCCACCTACCATGAACTTTTCTCTGCGACTTTATTCTCCGGCAGTGCTCAAGTGTAAATAAACTTGTTTACTCCCATCAGGACGGTAATGATAATGAAGCCTTATTTGTTTCGCCACAACGGCAGAGTAATTTGTGCGGTGCTGAAGTGGAGCGAGGGCGGGAGCCGGTGCCCTTGGGCTTTCGGGTCTCTCCCCAAACAGGGCTGCTGCAGTCGGGGCTTCCTCTGCTCCTGGCTCCCCATGCGTCTTTGCAGCCCCCCAGTGAGGGCAAACACCCCCCTCCAAGGAGGAATAACGCAGGGACGAGCGGAGGAGCCTGAGCAGCTCCATGACGGGTGACTAAGCACCAGGGGTGGGGAGTTATCTGGCCCGGCTCGTGAGTCACGATAGAAAACGTACGGAACGGCACAACCTGACGCGGGATGAGGTTTTTTTCCATTCAGGCTGGTGTCTTTGAAACATTAATGAATCACAGTGAAGACAGGGAGGGAAGGCAGGAGGAGGAGTGTGAGCAGGGAGGAAGGAGGCGCCGCGGTGGGGAAGGCTGAGGCCGGGAGCTGCAATGGGACCGGGTGGCTCCAGGGCCAGGCTGTGTCCTGGCAGGGGTGGCTCAAGGTTACTCAAGGCTGTGACTAAAGACAGGACCCCTCACCCTCTAGCACTTGGGCTTCGTGTCCTGTCTCTCCCTCACCTGGGGACTGGGGTTTGTGCAGCTTCATAGGCCAAAAGCCAACGCAGACAGAAAAGGGCCCTGTCATTTTTTGCTCAGTTGTTTTTTAGCTGATCATGTCCATCTGAAGAAGCTGCATCGTGGAAAAGATTCCTTTTAAATGGTAAAACCAACAGCCAAAAGTTGGCTCTTGCTACTCTTACGGGAACCAAGACTAAGAGATGGGGCACCATAGTCCTCTGTACCAGTAACAAGGCAGGCGATGCTTGTGTTTATTATTTGCAACTTCCTGGAAAGCCACGCTTATTTAAAAAAAAAAAACAGTCATTAAAAAAAAAAAGAAAGAATTGAAAGAAAATGCCAGCCCTGATAAAATGCCTGTTGGCAGGAGCCAGGAGAAACGCAGCCAGCAGCCGGGCTGCTTCTGCCACCGTGGGAGAGGCCAAAGTAGCTGCTTGCCCAAGCGGATGCTGCAGGGGAGGCATCCGATGGGTCTGGGTCACGCTGAGGTGGGCAGAGGGCTCCGGGATGGGGGTCTCAAGGCCAGCCCGTCCACGCAGAGGCACCCGCAGCGACGCACACGGGCCAGGCCGTGTTTGTTACGGATGGAGGAGGCCGTGGTGCTGCTGGGCATCGTGGACATCTGTCTGCTCTTCCTTTGTCTCGGCAGATCCACCCTCCCCATGGAGAGCGTGGAGAGCTAAACCTGCCCATGGGTTGCTAGCAGCGGGCACGCGGAGATGGAGAACGTCTGTGTGTGCTGGTGTTTGCCAAATGCTGCTGTTGGGCACTGGGAAATGTTTCCATCCCCAGATCTGGGCGCATCGGCTAGCAAACCTGGCCTTCACGTGGTGGCATGTGGACACAGCTGCTGGGGACGTCGGGGCTGGCCAGGGGACAGCAGCGGGTGCCCAGTCACCCCGCTGTGCCAAGTGCTGCGAGCCCAGGAGCAGCCCTGCCTGTTCCCAAATGTGTTCCTTGGCTGACAGCAGTCACACAGGTTTTGGTGAGGCTCCTCCTCGGTGTCGGAATGACCTTCCCCAGCATGGATGTTGCTGAGAGGCAGCCCATGACGAGGAGACCCGTCTCTGTTACCCCATCTTTCCCTGTGCACAGCCCACCAGTTCAGGTAGGACTCCAGGGCAAAACCAAGTGCCCGTCTGAGGCATTGGCACTTTGCTCCTCCCTAGCACCTTCTCCAGGGACCACGCAGTGCTCCCCAGCTCCATCCTGCGGGAAGCGGATTGGCGGGGAAACACCACGGCTGTTTCACAGCACACAGCAATGCTGCACGAGCTCAAAACCTCTCCAAATTGTTTCCATGGGGACTGCGGAGCAGCCGGCTCCGCTGCCAGCACCAACGGGCACCCCCACATCACACGCGGGCTCTCCTGGCGGGTGACAGGAGCAGGGAAGGGGCACACGGAGCCCTCGTCGGGGAAGGGCTGAGGAACATTATGTGTAAAACTGTCCATGCCCAGTGATGTCTACAGGTCGCATCACCGAATCCTCCTGAACAAGCACCTGCGCTGGCTCCCTCTGGGAAATGACAGTTCCTCAAACCTTCTTAATCTGTATGGACAAGAAAGTCCAGGCCTGGGTGAGCAGCTTTGGACGTGAGCTTCTGGCTGGGATGGAGGAGCATGTACCGATGCTGAGCATGACAGACGTCTGTCTAGCTTTAAAACCACCCTCACGTTGCAAAGCTCACAGCCCTGCTCCTATACCCAGCGACACGGCATCCTTACCGACCTCTTTCTCAACGCGCCTGAGACAGCACAGCATAAACCCCATGTCCCACCACATGTGCACTCAGAAACAACAGTGCCACCCGCCAAACCCCTGGCAGGACTTCAAACGCCTCTGCCAGGACTTTCAGCCCAGACCTGCCTGCTTCTGCCCTTGCCTAGCAAGGAAAACCTGACAGGAACTGTACCAAGGGGAAGGTTAGGCATCAAGCTCCTTCCAAAAGTCACCTTTGTTGCATGATTAAGGATGGAAATGTTCTTAGCCTGCATCTACATCCAAAAATTACAATGTATTTGTGGATCTTCGCTCTTCAACCGTCTATCCGAAGCCAACGGTTTTTATTTCCTCATGTTGTCTGCAAGTAGAATTGAGTCAGCCCAAAGCTGCAGCCTGGGATGTGTGTTGGCAACTGCAGTGCTATAAAAGAGATGCCAGAACAGAAATCTGGCAGTTGTAATCTTGGTTCCTAATATAGCAATGCACCCCAGCCTTGTTTCTGATAAAGGTGAAGTAAGGGCCAGGTAAATGTAATAGAGAATCTTAATCTTAGTATCAAGAAAATATTTCAAGACAAAAGCTGAAAGTTAGACTTAGACTCTGCAACCTGGAAAGACAAAATAATTCCATATATTAATGCCTTTGAACAACAGACCTCCTCACACTAATATGGTTAAATTTTAGTTCCTGACTCAGTTTTGTTTCATCTGCTGAGCTGAAACTATATTTAAAAAATATATAATCCACTCTGCTTTACAGGGAAACTTGTATTTCAGTTTCTAAACCAGAGCTACATATGAGGAACACCATTAAGTAAATGAAAAGGCCAGAGAGATTATTAGAAATTAGTATAACACACATAATGAGCCCTGAGATCAATAAAAATCACACAATGCCATTTAATTGTATGGCTCCATTATAGATTATTGAGTTATTTGCATCTTGGAATTAATTGCCACTAATAAAGCAGTAACTGTCTTGAAGATGTTTGTGTTGTTATCTTTAAAGGCTTGCAGCAGGACAAACAGCTGAGATTCTCAATTTATTCAAGCAACACCCACTCACGGATTTCTAAGCTTGTGCTTAAACGCTGTCCTAAATGAGAGTCCTAAGGTTAAAAGTCAATTTGCTGGAATAAGAGATTGAACTCACCTCCCATATGTTGTTATGACCCTAAATCTCTCTGGGACGGAGCTGTCAGACCCCACGTGCTGCTTCTCCCGCAGCGTTGGCACATCTGCCTGCAGCACGCTGGCATGGAGGCATCGTCTGAGGAGATGTTTGCAATTGCTGGATTCTCCCTGTTCTCTGTGAAATTGCCCATGCAACGCAAACTCTGCTTGGAAACAGGCAAGCACCCATTTTTGTCAGTGTTTTTCTTTTTTTTTTTTGCCTTTCAGACAGCTCCTCTGCCCGGGCATGGAATGCTCATAATCTATACTAAAACTGGCAGGAAAAGGAAGAAAAACTCCAAATCACACAGGACAAAATCTATAGCCCACCTTAATGCCCATCTCCAGAATAAAAGTATCTTAAGCTGGTCAAGGAAACTCTCCCATTAAATCCCAAACCGTGGCGGTCCCAGCTCAGACGTGGTCCCAACAACGCAGATTCAGTGCAGATAGGGATGGGGCTGGGCACGGATGGTCCTGCCTCTCTGCCAGCCCCGCTCACAGCAACCGGGAGGAAAAAATCTCACCTTGAAGAGCTAAATGAAAATCTCTAGCAACACTCTGCGACAACCACATGAAAGACTAATTCCTGTGTGGTGGCCTTTTGGCACGAACCTGGGAGCAGAGTGTGAAATGTTGCGTGCTGCAGCGAAACATTCCTCCTCGCGCTCTCTCCCTCCTCCTTAGGCTGCTACCAGCGAGAACAGGATATTTAAGTAGCTGTAACAAAGCTGTTTATATCCCAAAGTGTTCTTGAGTGTTCCTTTGCAGTAGGGAACTGAGCCTGTAGCCTCAGCATCAAAGATAACTTCGTAATAGCTTTTTAGTGGAAACAACCCTTATTTACAAGAAAGTTCTACTGCAAAGCTAAGATGTAAAATAAAAGCAGCAGATAGTATTCATAATGCACTATAAATGTTGCTTCCATACAAAGGTCTTTTTTAAAAAAAAACTCCTAAAAGCTGCAATTTCAGGTTATAAATCATGGGGAAAATCTTGGACCCATTGAAGTCAATGTGAGTAATTTCCTTACCAGCTTTATGAATAACATTTTGGCTTATGAAAGCCTAGCAGATTTTTTGATCTAATTTCTTTTTCATCATATATTCTATTTGATTCCTTTTTGTACCTTGCAGTTGGACGCTGCCAGCAGATTAATGTATTTTATCTTCCAAGCTAATTTAAACCTATCATAATGCCCAAGAACAGTGAAAACAACTTTCTTCCAATTTCTAAAAACAAAGAAAATGGACCCAGCTGTCTTATCCCTCAGCCAAGCCTAGCAATGCTAATTCTCTAACTCTTCCTCATTCTCTGCCTAAGCAGACAAAATGGGGATTTAAACTGGGGTTTAATCTCACACCGTTCCTTCAAGGCAAGGAAAGGCTGACAGTCAGAGGGAAATCTCTCAGAATCGAATCAAAATTAGCAAAACAAGAACCACTGGCCCGGTGACACATGTATGATTATAGTGAGAGCTGAGGCAAATTCAGTTTGTGGGCGGCTGTATTCCTGCTCCGGGACATTGGTCTGAAGCTCATTTTCTGTATTTCCTATACGTAGCCATGTACTGAGAGCAGCTGCAATACCCCAATCACGGCCCGGACACGAAGAGTATGTCGGGATCACTTAAGCTGCTTCAGAGAAGGGATTTAAGTCTTAACAAATTAATATCTACAAAGGGTGCTTTCAATTTTGGGCAGCACGCCCTGCAGAAACCATCGTTCAGCAGTGAGAGAGCACCTGCCCGAGCAGCCAGCAGACCTGACCTTCCTCCTCAAGGACCTTAAAAAGTTGCTGGGAATGTTATACACTCGCTAAAAAGTTGTTTTTCCTCCAAATCTTCATGGCCTCAATCTCTGCCATCCAGAGAAAAGAAACATAAATACTGTGGAGGGAATGAGCTATCACCACACCACCACCAGTTCAGGCCTATTTCACTGCCAGACTCTGTCCCTTCCCCTTCTTTCTCCTTCCATTGAAGTCCAAGAGTGGAGGCATTATATTAGGAAATAATTAGATTTTGTTTTAATTTAGTTAGCACAGGAAGGAATAGAGGAGTCACGCAGCACTCCCGGTTACATAGTAGAGGCTTCACGTATCCAACCGCGCGTGGCACACACTAAACCTGCTTTGAAGCACCCAAGTATCATCCTCTTATCGTTTCTGTTCTACACGGGACTCTCATTCGAAGCAAGAAAATCCTCCAGCCTCTTCTGGTCCCCGACGGAACCAGAAGAACCTTCTGTGTCACGCGAGGAGGGAAAAGTTGGGCAAAGACCTGGACGAGGAGCTCTCCTAGGTAAAAGGCACCATCTAGAGGTGGACGCTGCTTCTGCAAGCGCTCCTCAAGGAAAGCTGCCTCCACACACGGGATGCAGGAGCTCACGGAGCCGAAAAAGGCACCGGCACTTGGGTCAGAACCGCAGCCTTTTGCTCTTGGGAGTGAATATTTCGGAGGCCGCTGCAAAGCATCCTCCCTTCCCGGCCTGGAAGAGGAAGGAGGATCCAGCCCAGGGGGAAACTTCCTCTGCTGGTAACTGTTCAGGCTGTTTTCGAGTGTCCTCGGGCTTTGTGGAGCTCTGCAAAAGGGCTGCAGAGCTGAGGTCTGGCTGCCCCCTGCAAACACCCCTGAGGCCACGGAGCAATGCAAGGTGCAAAGACGAAGCGTGTCCCTGGGTGATTTGGCAGCGTCTCCCTGTAGCCCCTGGCCTTACCACCCACACCCACATCTCTTTGGGAAAACAGCCACCAAAATCTGAAAAAAAAAGAAAAAAAAACTGAAATGCAACATCTTGCCTGATTTTAATGCAATTCTCTATGTTGAGAAGAAAGCTGCTGATTTATAATGCCTTTGCCCTTCGTGACAGAATAGGTTCTAGTATCTGTTATTTATTGAAATAGTAAATAATTGATGTTTGCTTTATTATCACTATTAAAAATGCAGGAGAGCTATAAATGCCAGCAAGTGCAGACGAAGAATATTGCACTTCCCACCCCATCCAACCCCGATATGTGTGAGGGGAATATTCCTGCCTTGATCTCGTTGCAGGAATAAATGATGTAAATGAGCATGTACTTGGAAACTCACACATCAGAAGAAACTCCAGCATCTTGCATCATTTTAACAAGTGATACATTTCCTTGGTGTCAATCCATCTCAGGAGCACCGGAGTCAGATCATTTCCCAGGTGACAGCTTTATCTTCCAAGCATCACAGCCGAGCAGCACACAACACCCTCTGTGCCACAGCAAGGTTAAGAGCTACCAGGGTGACACTTTATATTGTAGGATCCTGTCAAGAACCTTCCAAAAGTGCATGACCTTTGCTGAAGCTGATGAGACCACAGGGACATGATTTACCTCTGCCATCAGAGACAGGAAATTGCAGATCCCCCTCGCCCTTTCTCTCCCTGGATCTTCCCTGCCATTGCTTGGGGCTTACAGCTGCCTTCCGAGCACAGGATGTGGCAGTTTTCCCGGGGGAAGCTCCAGGCTGTGGCTGAAGGACCTTCTCTTCTGTTCGCATTGCAGCTATCCGGACACTTGCCTTGGTGTGGGGACTTGGAACCAACTGCAGTGGATGTCCCTGGAGAGAACAACGTTGAAGGAAAACGGCATCCACCAGGCTGAGAAAGCCATCCAGCACCTCCAGAGACTTTTACGGCTTGTTTTCAAGAGATAAAAAGAGAGATTCAGCAGCTATTGTGTTTCCTACAAAACAATCATAAAAACATATGTCCCCAGTTGCAAGAAAGAATTAGTAAAATTGCCAGTAAGCGAAGATAAACTGGCATGGCTTTTGGCAGTGTGTTTACAGTAAACCCTGAGAAGCTCGTTTAAAGCAGGCATTTAAAGCAGTCACCCTGCTCACGTCAACACAGCGTTACTCCATGCAATATGTTGGATGTCAGCTTGCTCTTTATTTGGGTTTTTAGGATAACAGTGCCGTAAGAGGTAGGAAAAGTCTCACAAGCCACAGGAACACGCTTCCTCCCAGTGCTTTCCACCTTAAAAGAGCAGCGGATGTTAAAGTGTCACTGGGGGAACTTAGTTTTGACCACCAGGCCAAGAAAAAGCAAGTGTCTTTACTAAATCTCAGCTTTTCAGTGACCTCTGACAGAGCAAATCTGCCAAGGCTAAATTGGCTGACTTTTAGGCCAAAGCTAATGATTTATCTGTTGGTCGAGCTCAAATCCCAGAGGTTTTATTGAGATTAAAAGGACACTAACTCAGCAGAAAGCAAAGAAATGGCCAAAACGTGGCTGTTCTTCACAGGAGGAGGACGTGCTGCCAAAGGGAAAGGTTTCAAGAGGAGAGTGCAGACCCGGGCGCAGCACCAGGAGCTGGTCCCAGCGGGATAGTTGTGTCCCCATGTCCCCAGGGCCCGGGGGCTTGTCCCAGCCTCCAGCAGCTCCTTGGGGCAAGGGCGATTTGGGAAAGCTCATAAGGACCAAATGCTGAAGGGGAGCTGGCCAAAGCCCCCTTCCTGGGTGCATGAAAAGCAGCAAATCTCTGCAAAACTCCTGGCACTTTGGGACGCTGAAACGTGCACATGCCCTCATGCAAAGGATGGACAGACAGAGACAGAGCCTGGTGGTGTGAGAGGTCTGAATGACTCACTCCCCAGCATTTTCTCTAATTTGGGAGACGGCGCAGGGCACGATGCTTGTGCGGAGCCAATTCCCAGGCAGCCGATGGCAGGACTCCTGGATCCGGGATCCAGCCCTTATATGGTTCAAAATAAGCGCGAGGAGGATCAGGCCCGGTGGCCGATGTGCCTCTGCTGTGCCCGGGATGCTCTGCTGCTGCGTGGAGCTTTCTAGATCTGCAATGGGAGCTTGGGGCTGGTAACATTTCAGCGACTTCCCCATCTTAACAGTGATAAGAAATGATAAAACAAAACAACAGGCACTGGACACCTTACGTTAATTTCAGCCCAGCCAGCACGCAGCAACGGCACGTGGTGAATCCCAAAGTGAATAAACACGTCCCGAGGAGTAGGGATACCACGGAGGGGCAGGTTGGGGGAAGGACAGTT